TCATCTTCGTACTTGTGTTAATGTTGATCTCTCGTTAGGTTATACTCGAAGTGTACTGTAGATTAGAAGGGTTAAATCTTTTTAATCTTACAGTCACTTTCACTGGATAAAATAGTACCTAAACCTTCTCTTCTATATATAAAAAGTTATATTGCATATATACTGGACAAACGGTGTGACTTGTCATCATAGGCTTTTATTTTTACAGATTGAACGAGTTAAATTCGGAACATACGAAATATATGTGTTTCGGCTCAACTCTGCTCTAGGTGGTTGGCCAACAAAAGGTTGTCAAATAATTATATTATAAAAATCCAATACTTTAGCGGGCTGCTGGATTCTGAACTCATTCAAGAACAAGTCAAAACTCCACCCAAATTGAAAGGTTGCCCCACCCATCACGTATAAAAATTGAAAGCTACACATAAATCTAGGATTTTATTATGCTATCAACCCACATGGTCAAACCACCTATCGCTTCCTAAAGCCGGCCACTCACGGTACAGCGGTGTCGTTCGACATAATCGGACAGCGGCGTTGTTCAATTTGTTGGTATATCTGGTGCGCCCACACACCATACTGCGCCGCAGTATTTGTTCGGTTCTCGACCATGTCAAATCAAACAATCATTTTAGCGTCTCTTACTTTGTGTATAACTAAGCGTAAAAAGAAACCTAAAATAAAACGTAGATTCTGGTGCAAAGAATCCAAGATTTTGGTGCAAAATAAATCTCGTCTGCCCCTGCACCCGATTTACTGGACTGCAATGCTAATTTTAATTCTCTTTTATAGGATGTTCTAAAATTGTTAATTTTTTTTCTTACATACTCTTCATTCGCATCTTTGTTTACTTCTTGGAACTTTAAAACTAGAATGTCCATTGCCTGTTTTCGGGCGTTTCTATCGTGATACGTTTTACCTTTTATTCGCTATAAGCATTCTTGTTTTTTATATAATTCAAAAAACTCTCTTAAAAAATTCTCGCTAAATCAAGCCATGTCGATTTTCTATAATATGATCAAAGCAAGTGTGTAGTTAAAAATGTATTTTTGCAGTATCGACAAATTGTAAACGGTCACACACGCTCAACAAATTGATGAGATCAACTCTGCAGTACTGCAGCAGACAGGCCAGTCTGTCTGCGGTCAAATTGTACGATTTCATTGGATGCACGGTCACACACGATCAAAATCCTTGTCAATTCGTCGAACTCGACGAAGTTGAACAACGCCGCTGTATCGTGAGTGGCCGGCTTTAGGCAAGCCCTCTTTCGTTTATCTAAGCAGTCAGATGGATATTTTGAGCGGTGTTGCCAATCTCATTCCTCTAGATGTTTCTCAAATAAGGTGTTAACCATAAAATATTTACAGGAAAGAAAGGAAATAACTACAAACCATTAAGTTTATTTTTGTTATTAGTCTGTTGTAGTAGATTGGTAAATACAATGAAAAATATAGGCAAATATCCGATTTATTTAAAGATACGAAGAAGATATAACTCTCAAAAAGATCCGCAAATCGGATTATTACACGGCGATTGGCAACATTGACTTTGGGCGGCACTATAGACTATGGTGCGTCCTAAAAGGAGACAGATAGTTGAACGATATTTTATACAATGTCTATCACCGGGTATGGATTTATTTTTGTCCAAGTTTTATATTGGTCCATCAGTTTGTTAATCTTTCTGTCCATTTTTCGGGATTATCTCGGGCAACGTGTCCGACCCATTGCCACTTGAGCCTTGCAATACGTTCTGAGACATCAGTAATTTTTGTTCTTTCACGAATGACGTTATTTCGAATCCTGTCTCTCAAACTAATCCCTAGCATGGCCCTCTCCATTGCTCTTTGGGTTGTACTGAGCTGCAGAACAATTCTAAACGTCGGCTCGGAAACCCTCCCTAAAATAACCTCTTCGGAAATTAGACATGCCTTACAGCAAATGAAAAACAAAAAAGCTCCTGGCGAGGATCGTATAACGTCTGAAATGTTAAAAATTGGCGGCAACATCGTTGTAGAAGTTGTGGAAGTCTTACTGAATAAGTGTCTAACAGAAAAAAGAATACCCAGCCTATGGGAAAACGCCGAAATAATACTTTTACACAAGAAAGGAGACACTACTAATATTGAAAACTACAGACCTATAAGTTTGTTGTCACACTTATACAAATTGTTAACAAGAATAATAACCAACCGCATAACACAAAAACTTGATTTATATCAACCGGTTGAACAGGCGGTTGTAATGATCACTTACAAACCATCAGAACACTAGTAGAAAAAACCACAGAATATAATGTACCTTTACATATGGCATTTATCGACTTTCACAAGGCTTTCGATAGTATTGAGACTTGGTCCTTTGTGTCAGCCCTGAAGGATGCTCGAATAGACTCACGGTACACTACACTCATTAAAAACATTTATGAACAGGCCACATTCCACATCAAAATCAATGAAGACGAAAAAACTGAAAAAATGCGCCTTGATAAAGGTATTAGACAAGGTGATACTATTTCACCAAAGCTTTTTACCTTAGCATTGGAAAATGTATTCAAACAGCTTGACTGGGAGGAAAAAGGTCTGAACATTGATGGTGTACGTTTGAGTCATTTGAGGTTTGCGGATGACATAGTATTATTTAGTACAGATATCAAAGAACTGGAGCAAATGTTGAAGGAATTAAACCAGCAGCCAAATAAAATAGGTCTCAAAATGAACCTTCAGAAAACAAAAATAATGAGTAATTTACAAACTAATCTTAATAAATTAAGCTATTTATTTTGAAGAATAAAGATATACCAATATGTCTAAAACGTAGAGTTTATGACAAATGTATATTGCCTGTAACTACATATGGACTGGAGACCATGGCCTTCACAAAGAAAACCTTAGAGCAGCTCAGCAGCTCAGTTCGAGGTCTCAGTCTCCCGAATCTCCAGACACTACCACACTGATCACTTATTGAAGCATTACTGTGATGTTGTAACGATATGGCATCCTTCAACCTGTAAACAGGCTTTGGGAGCCAATGTATAACGATAAGACTACCAAAGAGAATTTAAATACTATTATAAAATAATATATGAATTAACTATGGGAGCTTATCGTCTATGATTCGTCTAGCTCAGTCTCTCAAGTGTGAATCCGTCTTGTCTTAAACTATGAATTGAACAATGAAAATTCAGTTGGTAACAAATAAAACAATGAATTAACTAATCATATTTATTTAACATAAAACAAAATAATGATATTTAGTTTGCACAAGCAAATCCTGCCTATAGCTTTACAATAAAATGTAATGATACTTATGGCATCTATGGGTTGCTTGATTCTGTATAGGATGTTGTTGCCTCTAGATTATGTGGTCAGGTCTTAGGTGTTTGCTATTTGAGTGGTCTTTAAGACAGCTGCAGTCTTAGTTGATTGGTTTTATATGTGATTAATCCATCTTCGACGATGTTTTTAGGATGTTAGTCCCGAAAGGAGAAGCAAAAATTAGTTTTATTCAATCAACTATCCCATAAACTAGAATATAACACAGGGTGTATTAGAGAGACATCAAAGGGGGTTAACTTCCTTGCCAATTATTTTACAAAGTCACAATTAAACAAATAGGTGATGACAAGGATAAAGTGAAATAGATTTATTGTTAAAATTAGTTAAGTTTTGTAAGATTCCTAAATGCATAGAATCGAAAACGTGGCTTTGGAAGAAGTGAGATTATGAATATTAATAAAACTGTTATTATTAATAATACAGAATTATAAAATATAGGTTACAATGAAAATACTTACCCCAAAGAGATTTCTGTAGACCATAAAATAAACTTTATTTCATATTTCCTTCTTGGACGATTTTCACATTTGGTTTTATAAATTTCAACTACACACAAAAAATATCCCACCACGTTAGAAAAGCTGATTGACTGAAATAGTAGGGTAGGGACTTAAGACAAAAGTTGTGACTACAATGAAGTATGAGGTAGGTGATTTGTGAAGTATATCACAGTTGCCATAGAACATATGTCTATGATGGAATTAGCTCTTCTGTAAAAATAGAACAGATATTTAGTCTACCGGACAGAAAGAGAGAGCGCGCCAACTATTTTTTGAAGAAAAAAATAATAAAATGTGATCTTTGATTGTGTACTGCGGCTTAATTTTTTTACTTTTCCTATTTCAACTTTTTCTTATAACTATCCAATATTCAGTTCAGTATATAGCTCGTCTTACGATGGATTTACAGAATTTATTTGTTAGTTTCGTTGGATAGATTTCATCCAATCTGAGCTTTCTGCAAGTATTTCTATATGTTTCTCCATTGCTGTATGATACCAATCATAAACATCTAGAATTATTGGCTGTAGTAACTAAATTTTCAAATAAACAATTTGGATATTTCATTTTTGTTCTACTGAGTTTTAATATTTCTCTTTAAGAGCCTGACTTCCCGTATTTGTTTTAATTTTTTATTAGTGTGTTCTACTACACCACATCATCAGCATGAATTCGGTATTTCTGATAATGGTTGAATACTTAGCAGAATCTCCTTTTTATTCAGTATCCATCACAGAACTGTTCAAGGTACCTATGCTTTCTCAAACTCAAGTAGTTCTGTACGCCCAAGATGTGCGCACAACATTTCCACGTCTATTCGTATTCTTGTTCTATTGTACCATACCATATACCAAATACCAATTTATTTTTAATAAAAAAATCAAATTTAACTAGAAATTAAAAGTTTAACAAAAATGAACGTAAATTAAAAAAAATACTATTTTGTTATGTTTTTTACAACATGTGTAAAGTCTTATTTAAGTTTACCAAATTTTCGTCAGTCATCCTGTTAAATCTCGCAAGGCTTTTGTCATCGATCCATTTTTGAGTCTCCGCTTTTGAAAACTTGAGGGAGACCTACGTCGCGAAAACCACGTGAAATCGAATCGGGCTCGGTAGTAGCTTCTGAGCACACGGCCGGCAACTTATCGATCAGAAAAATGCAGCATGAAGAAATTTCAGTACAAGGTTATGCCGATCATATGGAAACCGACCTTGTTTTGGATACCACAATTAATACAATTACCCAATTCCGAGATATGTTATTGCTTTCTGGACATGATGTAGTGGTTATTCGCATCGAAGACCAGTCTTTCCCTGTACTTCCTAAAGGTGTTTTTGATGGTGTCCACCTAGAAGATATTTACATACGTCGTAATAGAATTGACTCTTTAGAAAGTGGTGCATTTGACGGCAGTGTTATTCAAAATGTTTTTCTGGATGAAAATGTGATAGAAAGAATACCGAAGGGAGTTTTTAATGGAGTTGTTCTTGAAAATATTACATTAGTTAAAAATAATATCAGTGTTATTGAAGACGGTGCTCTCGAAGATTTTAAAGCAGAAACTATTGACTTTAGTGATAATCATTTAAGGGAAATAAAAGCAACTACTTTTGAGGGATGTAGTACAAATATTTTAAGATTAGACTCAAATAAAATAAGTGAAATAGAAGAAAATGCGTTTAAAAACATTCAGACGCTTTTTCACATAAGTTTGGAGAAAAATAACATTGAAGATTTTGGTAAAGTATTTAACAATTTTTCCAGTATATTAAAAATAGTTAATTTGGAAAATAATTGTCTCAAAGATCTTCCCGCTGAGTGTTTCGCTGATTCCGAAATAATATGGATATACCTAGGCAACAACAAGTTAACTGAAATAAAAAAAGATGTGTTTAATGGACTACACTTTGAAGCTATATCTCTTGAAAATAACCAGATATCTAATATTGAAGAAGGCTCGTTTGCAGATTTGCCTTTACAATTTTTGCTTCTATCAGGTAACCAACTAACTTATTTAACAAAGCACATATTAGTTGGAGTTACTTCAGAGCTTTCTAAAGTAGACTTCTCGGACAATCAAATATTAGAAATTGAACCAGGAACATTTCATGGTTTAATAATAAACAATCTGTATTTAAACAAGAACAAATTAAAATCTATCAAAAAGGGAATGTTTTCTGGTGAAACTGTTGAAGTGTTGGATCTGTCTGATAATGAAATATCTGAAATTGAAATAGGTGCATTTGATGACGTAACAATATTAGTATCTATTAACTTAAGTAACAATAAACTTATGGAAATTACAGAAGGTATGTTTTCTGTTCCCCTAGATAAAATAAATTTTCAGAATAATGCGATAACTTTAATAGATGAAAATGCTTTTGGAGATGTTGCTTTTGAATCACTGCAGTTGGATGGAAATCCGATTTTAGGAAATAAAACTATGTAGAAGATCTCTACTTTCATATTGTTATGTATATTTAAGATTATGCACGACAGTATTTTTCTAGTTTTAAAAGTTATAGTTGATGATTATTATATTTTATTAGTTTTATTTAAAGGTCTTAATAAATTGCGTAATTTAGTTTTTTTAAATATCCTATCCATTACAATCTGCACTTCCTTCTTTTAAACTTTTTAGCATTTTCTTTGGTATTTTAACATTAGAAAATGTTATTCCTGGGGAATACTTTCCAACAGAGAGCTGTCTCATTAAGTAGGTATACTATTATTTCTCTATTATTGGTAAGCTTATTTAACACTAACAATAATGGTCTTCATTTTTAATTATCTATTACTTTATGTTATGAAAATGTTGTTGAATCTATTTTATGTTCCTTTATTTCACTAATTAAAAACATGTATGTGGTAACCTACCTAAAGTCCCGTAAGTAATGAAGTGAGTAACGTCCCATGGCATCTATCAAAGACAAGTGTCATGTCATAGAACTACTAGAATGTCAAAATGACAATTCTCCTTCTCGTAAGGAAATGCTAAACTTGTAAGGTTGATAAATTAAAAACAAAAACATAATACTTACAAGTCCAGCCCTACAAGCATTTTTATCACCCGTTGGGACCTTCGTAATACGGGGGCGTCATCTGAGCTAGCTGCAGTATTTGTAGTATCTAGTATTTGTGGTAAGCAAGTTGAAGTATTATTTGAATCATGTACATCTGTATCTTTAACTGAACGTTAACATGTTGCTGCTTCATTTGATGCAAAAGTATTTGTAACGATTGGATTATTAACCAGGTCAAAATGGGTCGGTTGTATAAGGTAGTGTAATTTCCCTAGTTTACGTTTGACTCTACCAAATTCCCATTTATCAGCATGTATGTAATCACGAGTCTCCATCTACTCTGTCTTTCTCCCACCTCTAGGTTTCTTACCTTGAAATGGTTTTGATTTTGTACAGGTGTTTTATAAAACGGTTTCAATAAATCTGTTGTGTTCGGATCTCTTTTGAAAACAATAAATTTAAAGAACTGACACCAGTAATTGTACTATGTGAGGTTCTTCTGTAATCCCTCTGTAGCCTTATGTAACCCCCTCAGCGGTGTACGTACTTCTCTGCCATTGCATTTATAACTGGAGGATATGGTGCATTGAATTTGTAAAAGATTCCATTTTGCTGTATAAATTGTTTAAATTCGTAACTAGTAAACGTTTGTGCATTATCTGAAACTAAACAATTAGTAAATCCAAATGTACAAAAAAATTTTCTTAGTAAGTTTATGGTATTAATTACTATTAAACTGGGATTAAGCCACAATTAAAGATAAAAATACGTTTATTGACGTTTCAATTTCCACTTCGGAAATCGTTCTCAAAATACTTCGAACGATTTCCGAAGTGGAAATTGAAACGTCAATAAACGTATTTTTATCTTTAATTGTGGCTTATTCCCAGTTTAATAGTAATTAATTTACAATGCCACAAGAAAATAGCTTCAGAACAAGTTTATGGTACTTCTAGAACTCTTTCAAAAAGGGTTCTAGATGTCACCCATGAGTGTACTACTGTTTTTTTTTTCTGGATTATTCCTGATTTTGTTGCAGTTTGTATAATTTTTGCATATATTTTGCATCTTCATCTTGACTATGCCAAAATGAGCAGTATGTAATTCATTTAAAACTTTTTTACGTAGGTTAGTTACAATTACTGCCATTTGTTGCCGAAAAATACAATTTTCCTGTAAAAAAATTCTATCTGTGGGACATTGAATATATCCCTAGCATCGATAAATTTTCCAGTTCCTAGATCATTGTGAAGATTTTGTAGTGTGGATTCTCTTGTAAATTCAAAACTTAATTCTTTAAAAGTAACAGGAAAAGTTTCTATTTGTTTATTTTGTAATTTTAAATTCGGAAAACATGTTTTGAAATCATTGTAATTTGATAATGTCACAGCTGCACCTGAATCTATTTCAAAGGATAAGCTTACCTTGTTGACTTGAACTAAAATTGTAAATTTTTTTTCTGTAGTATGAATGATCTGAATGAATATTGAAACTTTCTTCCACTTGATCTACGTGATTCGAACTTTTACTTTACATGCATACTTTGCTCAGATGGCCTCCTCGTTTACATTTGCTACAGACCAAATGTGTTACTTACATTTGTTCGCAATATGTTGTAAAGATCCGCATCTAAAACAAAATATATTTTTAGTTTGGTTATGATGAACATCATTTCTTTTCACATTTGTAGGTTGTATGTGTCCTTGTATATTTTGACACTAGAAACTTTATTTATATTAGCAATTGTATTTGACTTCTGTAATCGAGCTGCATCTTGGGTTGCTGTCTTTATACTCACGGCAACTTCTAATGCATTCTCCATTGTAAGATCCTTGTATTCCAGGTGTTTGCTTTGAATATTTTGGTTTCGAAGACCAAATACGAATTGATTCGTCAGGGCCTTATTTAAATAGTCACCAAATTTGCAAGTTGTAGCTAATCTACGTAAAGCTGTAATATATCCATTGGCACTTTCCCCTTCACGTTGTTTTCTTTATGAAAATCTGAAATTTTCCACTATTTCCAATGGTTCAGGGTTGTAATGTAGTTTCATTGTATTTACCAGTTCATCATATGATTTATCGTCTGGTTTTTCCGGCGAAATCTTATCACAAAGAATATCATATGCATCTGGACCCATGTAGAAGGTATGCGGCTTTCTTGCATTGTAACCACCGGTCAAAATTCTTGGATGTATCGTAAGTTTCAATGCTAAATACGGTGTAAACTTAATGAACTGTAGTCTTAGTCATCTTTTAAATGTACATATATCTAATTGTGAATTAGACAGGATGTCAATTATGTATGTAGATTATTTGTAAATTTTCACTGTGTGTCACCACGCTGCAGTTAGGTTATGTATGTATACTGGCCTTAACATTTGTATTTCCTTATAGATTCGATCGTCCTCATCGCCAAGCTGTTGTATTGTACGTGTAATGTAATGAAAATGGTGTTGAATGTATTTTATGTTCCTCTATTTCACTAATTAACAACATGTGTTAATTATAAGTGCACCTAGATAATGTATAAACTCCGAATGTAATAAGATTCATGTGCAGTTACAACAGTCCCATGACCCACGGTCGTAAACTTACTACGGTTGCCTATTCCGACTGGGTGGGATGCTTGAGTTACGTCACAGGAGTACACAAGAATACAAAACCCATTTATTCGCGATTGAAACTGAATGTAGAGGGCAGGTCGATTGCAGTGTCATGGCCGATATAAATGGTATAAACAAAAACAAACATAACATTCGAATATTTACCATTGCTTTTCCATGTTAGTTTGGTTTAAGACGAGTTATTTGTATCATTTAATAATGGAAATTAACCTTAATGATATCTTTGAGTATTGTGGTGAAGCAAAGAGTCCATTGGTTGAAGGGGCAGCAGTTTTCAAGTGATGAATTCCTAAATTTTAACTTTAATGTTTCGAACTGGCTTGTGTATTGATGATGATGAATCCTATTTTGTGTATACCTGGGAACCCAGAATATAATATTCTGTGTAATCTATTTAAACTGGGAATAAGCCACAATTAAAGATAAAAATACGTTTATTGACGTTTCAATTTCCACTTCGGAAATCGTTCTCAAAATACAAACAGTAAATTAAACTAATTTTGTTTTTTGTTACATAGTGAAAAATTCTTCTAATAATTTAATTTTATCTGACTCATTTATATTGACAATTCAGACATACATTATGCATTTTAAAGTAGACGACTTTAAAATGATATTGCCAATATTGTTGAGTTGCGCTCCTGGGACGACTTTACTTATAAGATAGTTCATTCGATTACATGAAATCAACTTTAACTTGAGAATATCCGTCAGAAAAAAATCATAGCATGTAATTCGTCTTTAAAAAGACAAACACATGACATGATGACAGTAAAATTCTCCTGTTAGTGATTCCATAGTAAATTATGAGGGAAAAACCAGGAAAAAAACCTCATAATACTATCCCGACATTGTAAGTATTTGTTCGTGAATTTAGTTTACCTTCAACAAACATCAAAATTCTGATTTTATATGTTACGTTATTTAAAAAACATAAATGATGTATCCTCTATATGTTACTGACTTACTAATACTGGTATTTTCTTATTAATAACTTCCTCTTTCAATATTGGTAACCAGATCCTACTACATTCTGCCGAGGAATTTGCGACACAATTGGCCTCATTTAGCATAATTAGAGCCGCTTCTTTGATTTTTCTTTTTTTACCATCCGTTTCTTTTAGGACTACATTTGAATTATTCCAGTTTATTGCATTTCGATACTCGTTTATAGTTTGGTAATTATTATTATAGCGACATTTTATAATTGTATCTGATTCAGGGTATTCGCTCCTGTTGTATGTATCTGATTCAGGGTATTCGCTACCTGTGTTTCGCTACCTGTTTCTCACTTATAGGACCTAGTATTCGTTTCAGTACCTTTCTTTAAAATATATATATGCGGTTTACAGATTTTTGAGTCAACACCCAAGTTTTACATCCAAAGCTAACTATCGGTCGTACTATGGTCTTGTAGATTCGTATCTGAGTTATTTGATGTACGTCACGTGATTTAAATATCGAGCTCATAGTAAAGTATGCTGTATTGGCTAGGATAATTCCTCTGCTAAGCTCTGCATCGTCAATGTTGTCCTTTGTGATATTGGCTCCAAATATGCATATGCTGCCAGTTGGACTGATTTATTGATAAGTGTGTGTTTCTACCTTCTGATGTTTTTCTTACAATGTATTTCAGTGTTAAATTAAACAATATTGGTGCCAGCTCATCACTCTGTTTTAATCCTTGTGTTATTTGAAATGGATCTGCCATCTCATATTTGTATCTGTACTTAGCCACGTGGCTGACTTGATGTTTTCGAAAGATATAAGCTGTAGCATATCCTTCATCACATGTGCAAG